GAGTCGGAGTCGAGAGCGGTGGAGCTTCTCCAGTCCAGATCGGATGCGAGGCGCAAGCAGGCTCAAAGTGCTGAAGCTGTGATTTCTTATTGACAAGTGCGCCACTCGCCAGTTCCGAGTCCGGGCTTGAGCGAGCGCTGTTCCTCCCGCATGTCGGCCTCCGAATCCACGAGCGCGCCGGGTGAAAAATCTTCTCCTCCGAGTCCGAAGTTGGGTGGCAAGGCTTGCGGGCTCAGAGACGCCATCCTTTCAATTTGGTCGCCAGGAGGCTTTAAATTTCAAGTCTTAAGAGTCACATCCGTGTAGCAGTCTGAGTCGCCTCGCGGTGCGCGTCCCTAGCCAGCAAGTTGCGTGTTGTGCAAAGCATCGTCGTCGCTGTCGTCGTCGTCGTTCAAGGCACGTCCAAAAAAGGAAATCCACCCCTTCCTCCTCGTCAGTGCTCCTCACTCTCCCCAGCTCCCCTCCTCACGCTCTCCTCTTCCCCTCCTCTTCCTCGCTCGGAGTCGCTCCCTTTTCACCCGTTCACCGTCCCCTTCGAAGCCACCTTGATGAAAGTAAAAACAAAGCAAGTGATTTACCAAATACACAAGAATCGTAAATCATACAAAAAATGTAAGTAACTGCGAACTGTAAGTATAAATGTCGTATTGCGGATCGCAGTCGTAGTCGTGTCCCTCCAGGAGTATGCGCGTAGGTATGGGAGGATTGGTATGGGAGGATTGTAGGTGTGGGTGTATTAAGTGTGTTCGTCCTCGTCCTCGTCCCCGTCTCCCCGTATTGCGTCTTTCGTCCGTCTTCGTTTTTCGGTCCGTCTTCGTTTTCGTTCCGCGGTCTGGCACGCGAGGGCTACGACGCAGCTTTCCGGTTATCTTCACTTCCCCGCCCCTCTCCGTCTGCATCCCCATCCCCATCATCATGCGCAGCAACAACCCCCACACTCGCCACCCCCACCTCCAAATGCGGCAGCCCCGCCTCGTCGGGGTCGTCCCCCGGTGCGGGGGCGGGCAGGAGCGGCGCCCACGTTGGTCTTTGTGGCGATGCGGGTGGTGGTGATAAAGCAGAGGAGGACGCGGGAGGAGGAGCGAACATCCCCGGCGCAGGCATCGCGATCAACACCGCGACGCGCACGCGCGGCTGTTCTAAGCGTCCTACTCCACTTGTCATCGTATTCGCACCCGCACCCGCTGCGGCATTCGTGTTCGCACCCGAGTTGGAGGTCGGCACCCTCGATAACACCGTCCTCGAGTTATTGGCGGGCGTTCCCAAGGCGGAGGGCGGCGCGAGGAGCGAGGGTGGTGCGTTTGTCGGTGAAGAGGGGGAGAGGGCGGATGAGGAGGAGGGGAGAGAGGAGGGCGGGATGTATGATGCTGCGAAGGGCTGTGAAAAGGGAAAGGGATGTCAGCGAGCTGCGTCGGAGATTGGAGGGAGAGGAAAAGAGCGAAACGTAGGCGGGGGAGTAGCAGTAGCAAAGTGTAGCGTGTAGGAAGAGGAGCAACGGAACGCAAGGAACGGGGGGCGGATGGAGGAGCACACTGCGTACGATGGAAGCAGACTGGGGGACGAAGGGGGAGAACGACGCGCGGGGAGAGAGCAGGACGCAAACAAGGAAGGAAGGAAAGGTGATGGAGCAAGGGACCGAGGTAAAGCCGGAACGACGCGGTAGGGGGGTGAAACGAATGCGAATGCGAAGGGGACGGGAAGAAGGGGATGAGGAAGCGGAAAGGGGAGGGATGAGGAGGCGAAGGAGGAGCGAAGCGGCAGAGGGAAAGGCAGCGGAGGTGAATGAATGGATGGATGGCAGAAAGGAGACACGGTGTGGGATGCGCGGTGCACGGGAACGAGGAGGGAGGGAAGGGGGCAGGGGAAGATGAAGAGGAAGGGGAAGGGAAGGGCTGCGAAGGACGGGGCGGGAGGGTAAACGGACGGTGCGCGTGGGGAGACAGTACACCATCCACGTCGATGCAAAGATAGGGAGGAGTGGGCAAGTTCGTACAGTAAAATGAGAGGAGAGAAGATGAGGGAACGGGATGGAATGGAAGGAGATAGTACGACGCAGGGGATGCGATCGCAATGCAGAGCGCGAAAGAAAGGTGTGGGGCGGTATGAGAGGGAATGTAATGGAAGGGGGGACAAGGAGGAGGAGCGTGTGATAGGGAACGGAGTGGAAGAAGGAAACGGCAGGGCAGCGCAAGTACGAAGATGTGATTATAAGTAATCCGGGGGTGCATGGAAGGAATGGGAAAGAAAAGCGAAGGGAGAAAAGGGAGGGCGAACGGTACGTGGAGAAGGAGGGGAAGCGAAAGGGTTAAGTGGAGGTTCGGGCGGGGTAGGGGAGGGAAGGGAGGGAGAGAGGGGATTGGAATGCCGATTTGATAGAGAGAAAGAGAAGGTGAGGCGAGGCGAGGGCGAGGGCGAGGATTGCCCGACGATGCAGGGAGGAGGGACGGCGCATAAGCACACTAAAATGGGAGGAAGAGCAAGGAGGGGAGATGCCGGGACGACGTAGGTAGGAAGGAAAGGAGTGCGGGTCGATAAGGCCGTGGATGCATGATGAATGGAAGGGGAAGAATGGGAGAGGGACGCGTAGAATTGCGCAAGAGACAAAAGTACGCATGAATGGAAGGAGGAGGAGGAGGGAAGATGGGTGCGGGGGAGAATGAGCGGATAAGGGGCAGGCTGGGAACGGCAGGGACGCCGGGGGAGGGAGAAAGAGAGGAGGGAGGTGCGCGTGGAGAGAGCGAATGGACGAGACGACACGAAGAGTAACGAGGAGGGGGCGAGAGAGTGGTACATGGTACGATACAATGAAGGGAAAGGGGGGAGCAGGCGGGGGACGGATAGAGTGAAGGAAGGATGGAGAAAAATACAGCAGCGCGTAGACGCGACGCAAGTTGAGAGGGGTATGAAAAGGGAATGGAAGAAAGGGGGGATGGATGCAAGGATGAAGGGAGGAGCGGGAGGAAGATATGGCAGAACGACAGTTACGAGTAGTCGGGATAAGAGCTACAAATGTAGCAGGGAATGAAGAAAAGGAATGGAAGGACGGGAGTGCCGAGGTGAAGGCGAGAGGGATCGACTGAGGGAGGGAGGGGGGGCGGAGGATGAGGGGAGAGGCGGAGGATGAGGGGAGAGGCGGAGGATGAGGGGAGAGGCGGAGGATGAGGGATGATATAGCAGCGCGGAGATGAGACCCAAAGGGATGGGAGGGCGAAGGCGAAGAGGGAGGAAGGATGTGCGTGGAGGGAATAAAAAGGACGAGGCGGGAGGAAGGGCGAAGACGGAGTAAGGATGCGCGTGGAGGGTAATGGAAGGCCCGAGGCAGGTAAAGAGGGAACGAGGGGAGAAGGAGCAGGGGAGACGGGTATAAAATATAAGTAAGGAAATAAGAATACGTGGGTAGGGTAGCGGAGAAAGGGAGAACGTAGGCCGTAGCGAAAGTACGAAGATGCGGGTGGATGGATGGGGGGAACAACGGGGGATGAAAGCGACGAAAGTGCAGGGCACAACGCGAAACGGTACCCACCATAATCCCATCCCACTCCCCCTTCTCCTTCTCCCCACCGCCTCCACCGTCCCCACCTTCCCCTCCTCCCCCACCACCCGCACCCGCACCCACCCCCACACCCCCCAACACCGGCGGCACAACCCACGCATCCCACAACCGCGGCTTCTTCTTCAAATCCACACGCACGCGGGGCGCAGGGGGCACCCAGGTGCCGTTGGCGATGGCCTCGGCGATGAGGCGGCGGTGGCGGCGGCGCAGGAGGAGGGAGCGCACGACGATGGCGGAGGAGACGCCGAGGAGGAGGATGAGGGTTGCGAGGAAGGTGTATACTGTGGTGTGTTTGATGTATTAAATATTTGTAGGGTGGAGGTGGCCGTGGCCATCGCCGTCGGGGAGGCGAAAGAAAGGCGGGGCGCAGGGTCATCGGCGTGTGGCGAGGTGGCGACAACATAAGATGCGACCAGCAGGTTCATATAAAAAGCAGCGCAGCAGATATGCCAAAAAAAGATAAATATGCGAGGAATAATCAGATGTCGGGAGCGTGACAGCGACAACGAGAACACGCACGGTACAGCTGCGCAGAGGACTGGATCCCCGGCTGCCCCCCGGTGTCCCCACCGCTCTGCGACCCGCCGCCGCCGCCGCCACCACCAGGTGAGCGGGTGGGGAACGCCGGGTCGGTCGTCGAGGAGAACGTCTGCGAGAAGAAGGTCGGGGTGCCGCTGACGGAGCTGGAGGCGGATATAGAGGAGGCGATGGATGTGGCGGATCCAGATGCTGAGGATCGTGCGCTGGCGCTGGATGAGCGCGACGTCGCAGACATGGTCGACGTTAGTCAAGATACGACTCCAAGGCTAAGCTGAAGCTATCGATATAGACCCCGAGTCGCCAAGGGGAACCAAGGGGAACAGAACCCGTGCCTGGTCAAAGACTCCTGAACGTGGCGAGGAGGGCGTCGGTCGTCGTCGTGGGCGGCAGCGAGCAGCAAGCGTGCGACGGCGAGGAGGAGAAACAATTGGAAGAAACGAGATGAGAGGAAAGGTGTGTCATCCAGATGTCATCGGCGCATTCGGCAATCATATTGCCTTGTTGGGCTTTTTGGTTCAACGTTCTCCACCCGGCGCTGGGAATTCTCGGGGTTATTCGGGAGGGCTCGGTGTAACCTTTGTGCCTTCTTGTAGCACTTTTTCTCGCCGTAGAATTGACCCTCCAAGGAAATAATCTGCTTCGCGCCTGGAATCGGATTAATTTTAGCGTCAACTGTGGCGGTTGTTGCACTGCAAGTTGCAACAGACAGCAAAACCGGAAAGCCGTGTAACTCCCTGCTGCGCAATCACCTTGGCTATTCCGGGTTACCCAGCGCTATTCGTGGCATCAGTCAGCACGGTCAGGATATATCGCCGGCCGAGCAGATGAGATTTGAACCAACTCCGCAGCAGTTTTCAGTGGCTCGAAATTGCTTGGATGGCGTCGAGCACCAGAAGAGTAGATACAAAGCAGTATGGTGTATGGCAGCACGCGGGACCATCTTGTGGCCTTGGCGTACACTTGATTCCCGAAGTCCTTGTTCGATCCAAGGTGCTGCTCTGGTCGGTCCAAAGGCATGAGTCGTTTTTTTTTGTCATCGAGTTCTATGCTTTCTCCCCCAGATCTGTTATGCTCTCAGTCAACTTACGATCAGGAACATGAATAAAACCGTGGGCAGTTACATGTATGTGGTGCAATCCAACGCACGAGTGTCCCTATTCTTCTTTCTTTGCATTCCCCAAAATCTTTGCACTCTCACAGGTTAAAAACAGCATGGTAAAGGCAGTATAGTGTACGGACGCACGCGGGATTATCTTCACATGTGCTTTCTTCTAGCCGTTTATTCCCGAGGTCCTTGTTCGACTCAAGGTACCGCCCTGATCCATTCCGATGAAGAGCATTTTTGTCCTCGAGTTCCCCGTCTCTCTGTCTCCATTGACTACTCTATTTATTCCCTCCATTGATTTATGGTCAAGACAATGGACATGGGTGATACCAAAGGCAGCATGTGGTGTAATCTCACACACAAGAACCCGTATTTTTCGTTTTTGCATTCCTCCAATTTATTTGCACTCACACGAGTTGAAATCGGCATGGCAAAGGCAGTATGGTGTATGGAAGCACGCGGGACCATCTTAAAGTGCCTTTCTTATAGCCCTTTATTCCCGAAGTTCTTGTTCGACTCAAGGTGCTGCCTTATTGTTCTCATCCATGCTTTTTCTTTTTCTCAGCTTTACCACCGAGTAAAAAAAGGTTAAAATACTAGTACACAAGAGGCACGCGGGAATTGCCGATTGAACACAGACCTCTTTGACAGGGCCCCTCAATTTGGAAAGCTGTGCTGGGCAACGACTTTTGACCGTCCAAATCGTCAACTTCTTCCTCCTGGCTTCATTTTTTCCCCAATCGCCCCAGGATTTTGCCTACCCTCCCATTTTCATACAATAGGCAGCTCCCTAGGTACTTCAAATAATTTTAACTGCCCATTAGAAGACGTGGTGAATAAATTATCTGCATGATGGATGCTGTAAGCACAATGACTTTTGAACGCAGCCGGAGATATAGCCGAAAATAAAGATACCGAGATCACCGGAAATGAATGGAGGACCCCCCGGACCGGGATCCGGACCCTCCTCCTCCTCGTATGCACAGCATGTCAGAACTTTTGGAGGTCGATGTCGGGAACTTTAGTTCCGCGTGCCTCTTGCTAGTACAGGTCAAGAAAGCAGTATGGTGCACCTCTTCAGATTGTAACCTGGACATCCTTGTTCAAAATTCGAAGCAAGGTACTGCTCCTTCCGACATTCTCTGCACATCTTTTGTTCAGCTCCTCACATGGACTGCTGTAGGAGGGCCGGGAAAGCAGTATGGTGTATTGAAGCACACCGGGCTTAGGCTCTCTTGATGCCAAGATTCCAAGACATTCAACCCGGAGGTCCTTGTTCGAATCAAGGTACTGCCCTTCTTCTTTATTCAGCTCCCTCTCTTTTGGGCCGCCTGCCTCTGGAGTTACAACATTACCCAGGTTGAGAAGGAGATCAGAGAAAGCAGTATAGTGTATGGAAACACGCGGGATTATGGAGTTCAAAACCTTATCAAGTCCCGAAGTCCTTGTTCGAATCAAGGGGCCGCTCTGAGCGGCATGAGTCGTATTTTTTGTCGTCGAGTTCCACGCTTTCTCTGTCGGCTCTAAGCTTTCAGACTTTCAGTCAATGTACGGTCAGAAACATATATGAACGCAGTGTGGTGTAGGTAATCCCACACACGAGGGTCCATGTTTTCCGGCTTTGCTAATTGCATTGGTCAAAATCTTTGTACTCACCCAGGTTGAACACAGTACGGTGAAGGCAGTATAGTGTATCGAAGCACGCGGTATCATCTTTGACTGCTTCCTGTTGTATAAATTCCCGAAGTCCTTGCTCGACTCAAGGTGCTGCTCTTTCCAGTCATTACTTTTTTTGTGTGATCCAATTCTATGCTTCTCCTCGGCTTTATATTATTCCCTCAGTCAATTTACGATCAGGAGCATAGATAAAACACAGTATGTGGTGCGCGCGGGAGACTCCCTGTTCATGGGCTTTGCATTCCTCGAAATCTTGGCATTCACACAGGTTGAAAACAGTATCGTAAAGGCAGTATAGTGCATCGAAGCACGCGGGATTACTTTGTACGAGGCTTGCACTCCGATTGATTCCGAAGTCCTTGTTCGAATCAAGGTACTGCTTCTCGCAAAAGAACCTGTGCTTTTTGGTGAGTTCTCCAATTAGCATTTACAGCTCTCAATCCACATGAACAACAGTAGGGGCTAGGAAGCAGTATGGTGTAAGGCCGCACACCGGGATCACCTTGTGAGGGTTGATGTTCGACTCAGGGTGCTGCTTTGATTCGGAAAAACTCCACAGGGGATGTTTTTGTTTCGAACCTTTGGTATCGCTCAGAACAGCACTAACCTAGGTTGATATATGGGTGAAGGCAGTGTGGTGTAATGCCGCACACCGGGGCTTCCTTAGCGGCTAGTCAGGTGATATAACTTTAAACCGGAGGTCCTTGTTCAAGTCAGGGTACCGCTCTCCTTGTGCTTTGTTCCCTGTTGCATTCCTTGGAATTTCAGCACAGATTAAGGGTGAGCACCATGTTAAAAAGGCAGTATGGTGTAATGTCGCACACCAGGCTCTGTTAGGTTTCTTTCTGATGTTACATGTACCCCGGAGGTGCTTGTTCGACTCAAGGTGCTACTCTAAACCATCGAGTGTCAGTTTCATTATTTTTTTGCCGTCGAGTTCTAGCTTTCTCCTCTACATTATTCACTCAGTCAATTTACAATCCAGATTATGAATAAAACGGAAGGCAGTATGTGGTGCACGCGGGAGACTCCCTGTTTATGGGCTCTGCATTCCCCGGAGTTCCCTTCCCTGCGATGAAGACAGCATGGTAAAAGCAGTGGATGCAATTATGTTGTGGTTGGTTTGCGATTTATTCCTGAATTCCTTTTTCGACTCAAGGTACTTCGGTTTTTTAAGAATTTGTCGCAGCTTTCCCACTGGGAGAAGGTTTGAAATACAGGTGAAGAAGCAGTATGGTGTAATGTCGCACACCGGGTTCCTTCGGCAACGAAGTCTCAACAGGTTTAACGCGGAGGTCCTTGTTCAAATCAAGGTGCTGCTCTTCTACTGTCATGGCCTTTTTCTTGGTTGAATTCCTGGAAACTTCAGCACAGATTAAGGGTGAGCAACATAAAAAAAAAAAATGGTGTATTGAAGCACACGGGGCTTCCATATCCTTCAAATATTTAATCCCGAGGATCTTGTTCGAATCAAGGTACTGCTCTATACTGTCTCCATCTTTTTTTTCTTTCCTTGTGCATCCTTGGAATAGTGTAATGTCGCGCCCCAGGTTCCTTTGGGCTCGAATGCTTCGACAGGTTGAATCTGGGAGTCCTTGTTCTCCTGGAGGACCTTTTATGTCAACAGCCTCTTCGGCGTCTTTTAAACTTTTCGACTTGGAAATCGTGGAGCTTGGGTTCAATGATCTTTGACATTGGCACAGACCCCATGAACTGAAGTATTCAGAGGAACCTGGTCCGTATTGTTGAGATTGGTGATGTGTACTGTTTCTTTTTGTTTTTGCGACAGCCCGGACCCCTGTTTTCTTGACTTGTTCTGAGCTTCTGCGTGACTTTATGTAAGAGTGAAGCAAGGGGAAAGTGGTCCCAGAAAAAATGACATCTCGTTTCTAAGTTCGCTATGCGCAAGTTGAACGTGTTGGACGCAAGTTGAGATTTATTAGCACGTTGCGCATTCCGTATAAAGTATAGAAACGGATAAAGGCTTGACTCGGACTCCTTTCTACTAGTACGCAGGATATAGAAGCTTCCAGTTCAACAATCGGAGCATCGAGTAAATGCATTGCTGCTAAAAACAATGTTGAACCCGACTAACCCGAAAAGGCAAGGACATATTCCCACGTCCCAGCCGACTGTTAGACGACATCATCTTGCTGCGCCACGTGTATGACCTGGCACTCTACTTACTCTGACCTGCTGAGGAGTCTGAGATATCAGCACTCTTGACTCTTCGACCTTCCAACTCGACTGAGTTCAACGTTGCTACTGTCTCTGCCAGAGTCCTCACTGCTCCCTCCACCAACTCAAGTGTATGATTTCCCCTTCACTAGCAAACTTAGATCGCAGCCTTACTCAGAGTCTTTCAGTTCTCGTTACCACTGTGAACCATCCTACATCGAGAGAGAAGCTTCATTTGACCACCTTGCGCTCAGCATGCCCACGGAATCCTTCCTGTTGCGTTTCCCGCAGGAGCTTGTCGACACAATCATCCGCGCAAATGACGGAGACAACTCTGCCCTCTGTTCCTGTGCTCTCGTCTGCCGGGCCTTCTTACCCGCTTCTCAGGCTGGCCTTCTCTCAGTAGTTCGTATAAACCCCGGTAAGCGCACCCGCGCTCAGCAACTCTTCGATATCCTCGTCGACTCTAGTCTCCCTAGTCAGACCAAATAAACAAAATGTTTTTTTTTATTTAGAGGCGGATGGGAAAAAAACTGTTTATGTCGACTCTCCCCATCTCCGTCACCAAATTCGGGGCGTTGAATTTTCCAACTTGAACAAGGGCAACTGGGATCGCGATTTTCTGGCGGGCGTCATCGCGCTCTGTGGGTTGTTTGATGCCGCGACGTCCTTTTCCTTGGAGTTCTACGCAATCACTCCGACGCCGGAGTTGCGGGCGGCCATCTGCGGGCTCTGCCAGCGCGCACTCCTCGTCTCGTTGCGTCTCGCCGGGCTGGGAGACGTCGACTTGTCCGAGCTCAGCGCGCTGCTTGCCTCCTCCGCACTGACGGAGTTGCTCCTATGGAATCGACTCGTTGGACTGCGTGGCGTTTTCCGACGAGGTCTCGACGCTGGAGTCCGCGCAGATCCTAGGCTCTATGAGGTGGAGATAGGCGAAGTTGGGATATAGGCCCTTGAGCTCGGACACGAGGTAAGTGAATGTCGGAACGGGATCGGCCATGCCCATGCCTATAGTCAATTGTTTAACAGGGATCCAACAGTAACGCCATAAATAAATCGCACCCCCAAAAGGACTCTAAGGACCGAACCGGATGGCAGTCTCGCTCTCGCCAACGGCGTCGGTGACGGCTTTGACGACTTCCAGCGTAAAGCGCGCGCGATTTTCCACGCTACCGCCGTGCATATCTGTCCGGTTGTTCGAAACGTCCTGTTGGAATTGATCCACAAGGCAGCCGTTTCCGCCTGAGTGTGTACGCTGGTCAGGAAAAGTATGAGTTCAACGAGACAGAGAACGCACCATGAATCTCTATGCCGTCGAACCCGGCCACCATGCCATTTTTCGCAGCTTAAGCATACAGCTCCACGTATTCCTGAATCTCGGGAATCGTGAGCGGCCGGGGCAAGAGGCACGCGGAACTAAAGTTCCCGACATCGACCTCCAAAAGTTCTGACATGCTGTACATACGAGGAGGAGGAGGGTCCGGATCCTGGTCCGGGGGGTCCTCCATTCATTTCCGGTGATCTCGGTATCTTTATTTTCGGCTATATCTCCGGCTGGGTTTTTGAACCATTGCACTGGGTGTCCCGGGCCGAAGGAAGAAAAAAAGAAAGAAAAAAGAAAGAGAGGAGGGAGAAAGGGAGAAGTTGTACGGGATTCCGCTGGTCAACATAAGAGTTTCAGAAGGGTGGGGCGGGACTCAAGCGGAACTCGGTCCGTCGGAGTGACAGTCGGGAAAAATTATATTTCAGCATACATATCAATCGGAAGTTGAGCACAAAAGTCGTATAAGGTAAGTACAAGCGGAAGAAATGGGACGAGCGAACACCGTACGGTACGTACTGACCGTTCTACGCATCGTGAGCATGGATTGCGGCGCGCTCGCGGTCGGAGTGTTGTTAGAATATTCGGTGAATAAACACACGACAGCCAGAAGCAGCAACGGGCATGTTTTCTGGTGTGCTTATAAGCCTGGGAACAGCCATGGAGGGTATGGGCAGCAAGGAAGCTACAGCCTTTGCGCATCTGACAGAAGGGCATGTGGGCAAGTGAGAAGGGTGGACACCGAGCCACTGCACGATGCACGTACCAGAGAACCTGCGGACACTGGGACTGCATCTTTCTGTCACTCCGTGGCTCCCGCCATCCTGATTCCAGATGTATTTGTTCTTGTCTTTTGTCTAAGCACGTCGTAGAAGTTCGCATGTTGGAGCTCAAAATCCCAGTCAGCGAACACGTTGCAGTGGTGCCATAGATTGAACTAAGCAGTCTCAAGGTAAAGCGCCCCGAGGCCATGGAGGTATTTGCCTCAGAATCAGGGTTTTGTCCAGTTCATTGCCACCGAGCTGGTATGCTTGTGATTTGGCTCCGTTTGACAAGGAATACAGATGTTTCGGCAGTCAGAGAGACAGCAGGACAGAGGAACAAATGGCCATGTAGCTATAGAAGATCGGGTGTAGGACAGAACATGCAGAGTGAGGAAAGCAACGTGGATGTAGCGGAATGGCGGATAACCGTGACGTGACCAATTATCTGCCAGTCACACGGTTATCTGCCACTTCAGAATTTCAAGAGCTACTGGATATCTTTTAATTGTCTGAGTGGATAGAACGGTTCTTCATCGGATTATACGACTCCTGTATTATTCTCAAGAATTTAGAGCTAGTGGATATGAAGCTCCAGTCCGCCGTGGCAGATAACCGTATAGCCACTGGCAGATAACACCCAGCTGATCTATAAACCTCCGGCTGCGTTCAAAAGTCATTGTGCTTACAGCATCCATCATGCAGATAATTTATTCACCACGTCTTCTAATGGGCAGTTAAAATTATTTGAAGTACCTAGGGAGCTGCCTATTGTATGAAAATGGGAGGGTAGGCAAAATCCTGGGGCGATTGGGGAAAAAATGAAGCCAGGAGGAAGAAGTTGACGATTTGGACGGTCAAAAGTCGTTGCCCAGCACAGCTTTCCAAATTGAGGGGCCCTGTCAAAGAGGTCTGTGTTCAATCGGCAATTCCCGCGTGCCTCTTGGGCCGGGGTTTCTCCTCCGTTCCCTTTTCGACCGGAATATCAGAAGCGGAGATCCAGGGGTACCTCGGATCGTCAGCCTTCAAGACCGCTGGGATTGACATCCGCCCCAACGCACCTATCTGGAGGAAAATAAAAGACCCCTGCGCGTGAACAGAGTCGACGACCTAACCATCCAAGTTTCAGCATGACATGCAGCGAGCGATGGTGATTTACGGATATTCACCTCTGTCCACGCCTTCACCTCTTCGGCAGTCGATATACCGGGCATGTTTGGGAGTCCCCCGGCTTTGGTGGCAATCGCAACGGACTCCGAAATGAGGAGCGTTCCCGGGGTCCCGCGCTGGGTGTAGTAATCCTTCACCAGAGGAAGCAGAGGGACATAAGTTTCAGCATCAGTTCTCAGCCGAGTGAGAGGAGCGAGCACAACGCGGTGTTTGAGTGACACCGGGCCGACGACGATGGGCTGAAAGAGTTGCGCAGACATAGAAAATTAGCGGCTGGGAGTCGTTTTGATTGTTGTAAAAAAAATGTTCATGTCCATTGGTTTTATACTCCCTACCGAGCGCGGCTCCATTGCGAAGTGTTTAGTCAGGCTCCGCCGATTCTCGGTCGGACTGCGATACAAAGATTCGCCGATTCTTGGTCGGGGCGGGAACGGAAGCTGTCGCTTTGTCATGGTATGAGCCTGAGGCGGTGCGGTGCATGAAAGCTTCCACTCCGTTTAGCTCTGCTTTTGTGCCAGTGGTATCCCATCGATTCTGTCTTCAACCACAAGTAAGCATTCTCTGCAGGCAATGTGTCGACCACCACGATCAAGTCAGTGTTGAATGGAAAAACCCAACATCGAAATATGATAGCCGAGCTGCGGCACGATCATGACACTTTTTTTTTTGTGGAGCTTGAGTCAGCATTTGACACTTCATCATAACACCATCTTTTGTTTCTCCTCCTCAAGGTCTTCACCGTCCTCCTACTACTGTTATCCGACACCCTCTTCCCCGCCGCCGGCAAAGACCCCTGCTCCAGTGGCACGGCGACAAAAAAACATAGCGTGCGCTAAAGTACGTCGACCGTGTTCCCTACATCGCCCTCCTTCAGCCCATGGCGCTCAACTTC